CGCTTGGTCGGCCATAACAACCCTCGAATCTACTGGAAAAAGGCATGGATGGTGCGTCCGCAGTAGTCGTCGCCCCTCTGGGGCTCTGAAATCCGACCCTGTCTGAACACACGTGGTACTGCCGCTACCGTGGCCGTGCCTCCCCTGTGTCACGGGCTCGGCCCTCGCGGGGCAGTGAAGGTGCAGCTACTTGTGTCAGCATCGAGCTCAATCTGTGTCAGTGGCTCCTAATATTCTACTCTTGCGGGCGACTGTTCTTGCGCGCTTCGCAGCCATTTCCATTATTTCGACTTTGCGCTCCCAGTTCCGAAGCATGGATTGAAGGTCGTACATTTGTGCCTTTTGTTCCACGTAATCAAGGGTTGATGGCATGTCAGTTGTCTCTGCCTGCTGCTGGCCGAGCCGTTTCCGGCCACGGCGTTCTGCAGCGATCTCCGTGTTGACCGCAGCGGTGTCATCGCGGACCTTGCGGAGCTGCTCTTTGCGAGCCGCTATTTCTCTGTGGAGCCAGCCTGACTCAGTCAAGATTGCATTGAGCTTCTGTTTGAGCATATTTAACGTCTGCACCGTCTTTCCTGTTGTCATTTTGAGTCGGAGTAGCTCCTCGTTGCGCTCTTCAATCTGTGTCTGGTATTGCTTGTTCTCTATCTGAAGCTGATGAAAATCTATATAGTGCAGGACATCACCCATCTCTTCCTTCTGCTTGAGCTGGGCCTCGACCTTATGAAGCTGTGCTTTGATGGTTGAGTTCTTCAACCGCAACTTCTCAATCATGCTATCACGTTGCCGCAGCTTCTCCTCCATGTAACGAGTCATCTTCTCCGCCATGGTCTTCCCCGTGCGCATGTTTTCTGCGCCCACGACTATGTCTCTTTTGAACTCATACGCATCTTTCTTCAACTCTGCGATGCGAATATCAGTTTCTTCAAGAACTGCACGTAACGTGTCTGCCAATTTTTCTGATGCTTTCTTGTTGTCCCCAATTTCTACTGCAAGTCTCTCCTGCTCCGCGTTTGCAATCTCACATTTCTGTTCCATTGTCAATTTTTGCGGCAAGTTCCGCCGCCGTTGGCGCCACCCCTACATATCAGCGCTGATTCACTCCTCGACGTTACAATATACGCGCCTTTTTCCCTTCGCTGGGCATCTCCTCCCCTTCGGGCTGGTCGTGGACTTGGCGCTCGAGGTAGTTACGGAAGACTTCATTCTCGAGCTTCAGACCCTCGATCTCACGGGACACCTCAGTGATCTGCTCCATTATCTCGTCGGGATCATCATCCGGCGGATAGTTGACCATTTGTGGACTCATATCATTAATTCCGCGCTGTAAGATATACACACGTTTCGACAAGATATAGGATGATATAGCATATCCTGATAGATAAAAGCCCGGACTTAAGGTGTATGCCAGCGCCCTGGAACGAAGCAGCGGCTGAAGCGGGCGCGCTGGCCCGAGTTATGGTGTGTGGCGGGATAATGGACTAAGGTAACTTGATTGGCTTAGCTTGAAGTTGGCAGTGCAGCTGGCTTGTATCTCTAGTATGATCTTATTATATCTACAGCGAGTGACGAAGGATATATATCTAGGTTTCCGTGACGTTGCTCCTTTTCTTTCTTGCTCACGCAACACTCATTCTAACCACCGGACGGAACGAGAACCTGAGACGAAGCTATGGTTCGAGCGTCTTTATCAGCCCACAGCCGCGCAATAATGCGGAATTATGCAACGACCCCAGCAGCTTCGTGCTCCGCTAGTGTGAGCCTGAAGCACATGCGCAGACGCGAAGTGCTGCAAATCGCATGGTGACTCAGACGGTCCTTCGGGGGCTGGGATGGGGCGCGTTTGATCCCCTCGACCCCAGTTTGATGTCTATCGACCTCTCGCAGCATCGGGGATCGTATATCATCCCCCAAGTCGATTCCCTTCAGTGGGGCTGGGTTGGTCGGTCGTCGTCGTCACCGTCGCCGCCGCCGCCGCCGCCGCCGCCGCCGCCGCCGTCGTCGTCGTCGTCGTCACGCGCGCGTGGAAATTCGAACCCACAATCAATTCTGCAACAGTTGCTAGAACTGAACTTAACTTAGCCTGAACGAGGCCGAGTTCATCTTCCTTAACCGCGAGGGACTCAAGGAGACTTCCAATGTCTGCATTATGGTGTTCAGTAAGAGTTAGTAAATTAGACTTAACTTTTTCAGTCACCTTTACTAGATAATTAGCTGTCGGTTCATCCAAGCCTTCTGGAGTTGCATCATCATCCTCAATACTTTGTTGTAAAAGGAGGTCAACCCTGGCAGGATTTTGCGCTGTTAGCTCCTTCTTCAGTGCTAGGTAAGCACTCAAAGGCACTGCATCATCTGTTGGATGCTCAGCCGCCACAACACCCCCCCCCCCTCTCTCTCTCTCTCTCCCTCTCTCTCTCTCTCTCTCTCTCTNGGTCGGGAGCTAGTCATTGTTTCGAGGTAGAGCCCGGGCAGTGCGCCGGGGGCCCGGATCTGCGGCCTTGGTCTGTGATGGTCGTCCAATTTGCCCGACACGAATGCAGCTTGGATTGCTGGCTATTCGCGGCAGATGGACTTTTTCGTCATCACGTGGGTGACTGCCTGAGGTGCTGGAATAAGCAGCGGAGACATCCTCGTATGAAAAAGCAGGGTCGACCTCCGTGCGAGAAGTAGCACCATCATGGGAAATGATTACCACCCCAGGTCCAGATGACTTGCGACCCAAGACACCGCTGTCGATGTGGCTACCTTGTTTTGATAGGGGGGACTGACATCTATCGTGGTCGTGACCACCGATCCTTTTGGCGATTTGTTGATCAGCGTGAGGCACCTCTTCCGCTTCCTCCTCTAACTTTTCAAGTTGTGATGGCAGTGGCAAGTCAACATCGGTGCGAATCTTTGGCGCCAAGGAAGCATCACCGTCACAATTGGGTTCAACTCCTCGAGGTTCCGAGTACTCTCGTTTCGGATAAACACACAATCGAGTTTCCAACTCAACATCCACGTTATTCAATAACCCCCTGGGCAGGCAATCATCATCTGCATCCTTCATCGAATCTGCTCGTTGCTTGGGGTCAAGTTCCGGCTCATCCATCTCAATCTCAGCGGGGATTTTCAGCGCCTGAGACTTGGTAAGGCCAAAATGTAATTGCGTGGGTGTCTTGCAGATCAAATGCGGGTTTTCAATAAGGATGGGAGGCTCGGGAAGCGGGGTACGGCCCTCCTGCTGCCCACTTCTGCTGCCGTTTTTCCAAGACTCTGTTTCAACCCTGCAAAGAAGCAGATGGGGCAGTCGCACATCGTCATCGGTGCCTGTGGTTCCCTGGGAATCTGTCAGGATGACGGATATGGCACCCGACCGGACAAGGACATCACGAGTAGTCTTGTTGTAAGTAAAGATGCGAAGCGCAGATGCACAATGCTGCGTTGTCAGTGGATCATTAAGCGCTGCAAGCGCGACGAGGGTGTCTATTGCACCAGATGCAGCCATTGGGCGCTGGTTCGCAGCAACGCGCACGAGATTTCGCAGTGCTATTGCACAGCAGCGACACTGAAACGGTGAAGAGTCTGGGGAAGCGAGGTAAGAAATGACCATCGATCCGCCTGACTTCACAATTCTGGCCGTATTGACCTCGCCACAGGCTAGATTACAGGCCATGAGTGCTGCTAGGAGACGCTCAGATTCACCCATTATTGCCCAGTGGTCGACAGTGAACTCAATGGCACCTTGTTGTACCAGAGATGCCTGAACATTGGCCTCTACGGACAGATTGTAGAGCGCAGTGACGCAGAATGGAATGAGCGTGGCGGTAGATGCAAGTGCGAATATAATATTCATGATATTTTTGGTCACAAGAGGCTCTGCAGCATCAATCCTGTTCGTCACACAATAAACCCAGCGCGCTAGCTCCAGGCGATAGTGTTCATTGATGTTGGGGATCTCAAGGAGCTGTGCCAAGGCTGGTGCGTGACTTGCGATTGTCACATTGTCAGTCGATGGCGACATTGCGAGGTTGCAACAAAGATGGGCATATGCGAGTGCAGACTGGGGATCAGCACATGCCGACCTCGCGTCCAGGGGGGGGAGGATACCTTGCGTTGTAATAAGTTCAGGCGCCGATTGTGAAAGCAGACAGAGTGCGAGGAGCCGAATCCGAGTCAGGCCTTCATCGGAGCTGCCGAGCTGCTCTGTCATCTTAAAGATGCTGAACTTTGTCGCCCCGTGGTCAATATTTGTTGCTTCTAGGGTTGGTAGTTGGATCAGGAGATTGAGTAGAGTGCGAGCGGCTACGCGCCGTGTGGCAGTAACTTTCGACTGAATCATTGCTCGAACCACTTTCATAGCCGAGGGGAGAGCAAGTATGAGATAGCTAAATTTGAAGCTAAGATTGCAGAAAGCAGTCATTATCATGGTATCAGTGCTCGATACGTGTCTGCTCTTCGATGTTATGGCACCTGGTTCGCCGACACGCGCAACAAATTTTCCCGAGGCGATCGCCGACTCAGTGCGAGCACAGCGTTTGTGAATTTTGAGGTTCTCTGCAAGTACTCCGGTTGGAGACATGTGTAGTTTTGCAATACCCAGCTTTGCCAGACCCCAGATAACACCATCGTTGACCATGGATTGATGCGTAGACTCATTATGGAGAAGATTGCAAAGTGCCGCAGCGCAGATTTCCTTTGTTTCTGGGCGGTCACTTGAGACAAGTGCAATTATCAAAAGTGCGGGTACTGCATTTGCTTGGAGGACGAGCTTCTCAGATCCTTCATCAGCTGCAATATTACAAAATGTCGCCGCACAACCCCTCCTGATCTGCTCATCGGGCTTGTTGGACAGGTCGACCAGGACACGAAGCACGCCATTCGTTAACATGAGTCGGCGCGCATTCGGCTCATAGGACATATTGACCACGGCGTGAATGAATCGCTGCTGAGTAGGGGAGTCGTCGAGAGTGCTCAAGTCGAGTAGCGCATCCAGGAACTGCTCGGAAAGGCGCTGTTCGCTGAGCATATGCGCTCGATATGCTGCTTGGAATGAAAATCGTGAGAGGATAGCACCGCACTGAATTCGTGTAATCAGATTCCCAGACCGAGAAAGCTCAACAATAGGCATCAATGCACCTGCAGCCAGCATGCGGCGGCAATTAGCTGATGAATAAGCTAGCTGTGCGAGGGCGCCAATCGCATACGCCTTGGTGTTGGAACCCGAAGATGCCGAAAGTGCAGCTCCTGAAAGGGATGATGAGTTCGCGAGGGCCAACGCTGGTGCTGCTTCTTCTCTAGCAAGGAGGTCAATGAGTGCAGGAATGAGTGTGGTGGCATCAACGTTGTCGCTGGATGCACGTGTCAGGTTCCAAAGGGTGGCCGCAGAACGTCGCACGATTGCGTCTGGGCAACGGGCATCACAGAGATCACAAAGCGCTTGTTGGCAGCCATGTTCCAGCATCACATCTGCGTGTGTTTTGACGCAACTGAGATGATAAAGGGCACGACTGCACCACATAACAATCGTCGAATCGCGCGAGCCTGATAGTGTGACGATTGCATCGAGTGCGCCATCATGCATCATCGTATTTACAAGTTCAGTTTGGAGAAAGAGACTATAAATTGTTCTTGAACAATTTTGATTTGTGTGTGTGTCGGGTCCAATGAGGGATACTACTGCCCTGACTGCATCTTTTATCTGTGATTGGGGCATTTTTTCGAAGAGATGGTTCTCGAAGCCTGTTATGCATAGCTGGCGGAGCGCCGCAGCGCAGAGCCGGCCGGTGATAATGTCTTTGGACCCACACTGCGACATAGTTACGATCGCGGTCATTGCGCCTTGGTGAATTATCTTTTCGCAGCAGCTCACATCCATGGCAAGCCGAGTGATAGTTAAGGCACAGGATTGCTTGATGTCTTCGTCGGGGAGCTCGGCCATCTCGAGAAGGACAAGTATAACACGCTGTGCGGTCATCTTTGATCGTGATCGCGAACACGAACTCAAGTTGCTAAGTGTCTTTGCGCAGAGGAGCGTGGTCTCATGCAGCACTTGATCTCGACCTGGTTTAAGCCATGGTCTGCCAGCCACAGCTGCGCGGAAAATTCTGTTCACAATGCGCACAGCACCCTCTTCTACCAAACGCCCCTGGTTGTTCTTAAGACAGCTTAAATTGCATAGGCAGCCTACTAGCATCTGTTCCATTCGAGCTGACATGCTGAAATTAGATAGCTGAACAATAGCGGTATTCAAATCCTCAATGTGAGAATACATGTCCTCAACGCAACTCAGGTTGCATAGTGTGAGAAGGATGGTCTCCATTGCGTGAATTGATGCTGATGCCATGTTGAGCAATGCGGGTACTGCGGAAGCTTGCACGATAGCCGCCTCACCTCCACGGACAGATGATAGATTGACTAGAGCTACAGCACAATGATTCTGGATCTCTGGATCTGGAGCGGTTGTCAACGACACAATTGCGGCCGCTGCGCCGGCGTCAAGCATGGTTTGTCTCAGGTCCTTTTCATCTGCAAGATTGCGCAGTGCCATGGCACAGGATATCTTAGTGACCGGATCTTCCTCACGACTCAGCGCCACTAGTGCAGGTACTGCACCATCCGCTACCAGAGATCTCCGCTCTAAGCCATTTGTCGACAATGTCGCGAGAGAAAGGGCGAAACGACGCAATTTGTTCGAGCGATGTGCAACGAACTCTTGGCTATAAGCCACATGCGCTCCGTCTTCCTTCGTCATTTCTTCATCCTTCTGACGTTCTGGCATCATGCGCTTGCGACGCCCCTTATTCGGGTCTGCGTCTGGATTCATGCGAGATAAATACAGTAGACCACCAGAATTATCACCTGTGCCGTACAGCATCATGCAACAAGAGCTAGTTACCAGGTGAGTGCGCTGCGAGCGCGCTGCTTGAAAAGAGATCA